TAACATATCACCATTCATGCAAATCTTTGTGTTGTTCCCAATATGCAAAATGTTTCAGTATGGACACACTGAGAATGATTTCCATTCTGACTTTGACTCTTTATTCAAATGGCATCGCAGAGCATGAACATAACCAGTAACTCCTACAGATGGTGACATTAACTATGCATACTGCATTTGTCTAATGTAACATTTAGATTTTTTGACTAATTATTAGCTGTTATGTTATCTGTTTGCTGTCCCTGCATTGACATAGTTTTAAAAAATAAACAGTAGCTGCAAATGTCTAGAATTTCATATGTGGAACAAAACAGCAATTGAAAAAAAAATAAAAATGAAATGACCTGGGAATATAGTTGTTTCATGAAAAAGCCATGTCAATATTAACCAGGAACATACGATTTTCTTATCAAAGTGATGAAATGTTGAATTTTTTCTTTGCACAAAATAGGATATTTGTGTATTTCACTGTAAGTTGTAAGCTGTTGAAGTTGTAAATAAAACAAGTATTACTGGAGTGTAATACTATTACAGTATGTCTACTCTGTCTCTGTTTGCACTGTTTCTGTCCTGAATGTCTCTATTCTGTACAAAAGAGTTTGTACCGTGTAAATATATACTTTTTATGTACAGTATTTATGTAAAATGTTTAGGTTAGCTATGTGTATAGGTTTATATAGGTTGTATAGTTGTTTTTGTTTATATAGGTTATATGTCCAGATACCTTTTTATGTTTTATGTGTATATGCCCATGTTTATTCATATGTTTACATGTGCGCTTGACACTTGTCTTGACACTTGACATTTAATTAATTGTGTTACTTGCTGCTTCTTTGCAATATTTGTGAAATTTACTAGCAGTTATTGAGGGAAAATTGTTCTAAAGTCATTCCTACAACATTTTTTTTTTTACGTTTATTAATTTAACAGACACTTTACAGTTGAGTAATATAGCAAACGATGCATCATAAAGAGGCAAAGAAACCCAGTAAGTGCTCGTAACACAAGGTTTCAGACATTGTTCAGATTAGTACAAGCTTTTTCAATGTTTTTCACAGTTTTAATTGTGAACATAGTAGCCAAGATAATACAACGTTTCTAAAAGAATGGATTTGTGACAAGGTCCCATACTAATCGGGCCTCTACTGTAGGATTCCATCCTGTTATGAGTGACGTTTGCTAAGAAAACAGCAGGAAAATGGCATTTTCACAAGCATGTAAAAATGCTGGATTTTCATATGGATGAGCTCAGTTACCAGTGATTTTCATGTGCCACCATTTGAATAGAGATCCTCATGTTGCAGCAAAGTCAGAATGGAAATCAGTCTCGCTGTCTCCACACTGAACTTCTGCTCCGGAGGACATTTTCCATCAGAGGTAACAAATAAATACACATTTATATTAGCAATACAGTGAGTTTAAAGAATGTTTAAAGCAAGCACTTTTAAAGAATACAGATGTTGTGATGTTCATGTAAATTCAAATCTGCTGTGATGGTGATTGTATTTTATATGTGATTTTAAATGTATTTCAAATGTCATTTCAGATTTTTTTTTTTTTTTTTTTCATTTAACCTGCGATTTAAAATTAATATGGTTGCACAATGTGAGGGAAAAGTCATTATTACAATATAATTGTATACATTTTTTTTGTCATGCACTGCATTCCTGATGTCTTTTTTTTAACATTATTTTATAAGAGTTTCTTGTCTTGAGTCATTTCATCTAGTGCACTGATATACGTTTTCAAAATTTTAAATTTATGAACTTGTGAGTTTTTAATATAAAATACAGATTTATATGCATTTTTCCCTATTCCAACCAGAAATGTTCAAACCTGCTATTATGTGATGATTATTTTCTACTTTGCATGTATGTATTTCAGTTAACAAAGCTGTGAGCAGCAGAGATGATCCAGAAAACGTTTCATTTACTTGTTTTACTAGGTGAGTTTGTGACAGAATTAATGTATCTTGAGTGAGTGTGAAAATCACATTATTATTAGTTTCTTCACATGTATCCATTAAAAACACGTCATAAATGAAACCAGATGCATTCATGTTTTTCTTCTGCTGCTGCTGCTGTTTATTTGAACGCTGTGCTGTCGACAGGACTTTTTTTGAAGACCTCGTGCTACTTCATTCTCATCCAAGAACCGAAGACTTGGACCGAAGCCCAATCGTACTGCGAGCAGTATCACGTGGACTTGGCCACGATTCAGAGCGATGAGGACAGATATAAGATACAGGAGATCGCAGCCGCCGCGGATTTTCAAAACAGGTCCTGGATGGGACTGTATGATGGTGTGTTTGCTTGGCGCTGGTCTTACCAAGATCAAAACCTAGACTACAGTAACTGGGCGTCCCTGGAAGAGACGACCTCCAGGACTCAGAGGATGTGTGGCGTGATTCGAAACACTGGAAAGTGGCATGCTGCATCTTGTGAGGAACAAAAACCCTTTTTTTGCTACCATGGTAAGATGCTTCTATGGGCTTGTACTGAATTGATCCTTTTTTAGCTGATTTGCATTTGTAAACATCATTTGCATTCATGCATTTGGCAGATACTTTTTCTCTAAAATGAGTTGCATTGCATTCAAACTGCATTCGACTTGATGTGTTTTTTTCCCGTTCTGACTAAAACACTAAATCTTTACAGGCAATAACATTGCAGGCAATTTCAATTTTAACTATATCAGTCTGACCTGGCGCGATGCTCAACGATACTGCAGGAGAAAGTACATAGACCTGGCCTTCATTAGTGAGTCCTACGATAACGACGCCCTGGTATTTCTGCTTAAATACATCTACTATCAGAATGAGGCCTGGATCGGCTTGTCCATGAACCTGTGGCTGTGGTCGGACCAGAGCAAAGTGACCTGGATGTCTGTGAAATGGGCCGCCGGACAGCCGGATAATGCCAGTGGCAATGAGAAGTGTGGGTTTGTCCTTGAGACTGGATTGATTGGGGACGATGGTTGCTCGCACACCTTACCTTTCTTCTGCAGTGAGTTCCATTCCTGCGTCAATCCTTGAAGAGCCAGAACAGATACAAAACTGGAGGCAATCTAAATGCATACATAGGAGTCAACTCAACTGTACTCATAATCAATGCAAGATTATTTTCAGGTTATTTTATGTCATTAGACAACAAATTACTGTTAAAAAGAATGATAACTAATGGCGAGTTTTATTTTGGTTTAAGAACCAGATTAGATAATGGATTTCAGTTGATTACTGTTAAATAATAATAATAATAATAAATATGATTTTAAAATATCCATGCAATATTGCCAGGAACACTGAACAGTATTTTCTTTCAGTAAAATACTGTATTTCTAATTTTACACTGCAATCGTCATTTTAAGGTCATTTTCTGTCATAACACAACTAACTACTGCAAGTATGATAACAAATAATTATTTTTATTATGACCTTAATCTTTAAGCAACCAGATCAGATAAACTGGGTAATTACTGTAAAATGAATGAATGAAGGTTTATTATTAAAATATCTGTAAAATATCGTCAGGATTTTAAAACACTGAACAGTATTTTTGTATTCATATTTTTACTACGAATTAGTCATTGTCTATCATAACACAACACATTATGTTACTGCAAACAGAGTCAGATGTTGTACTTATGATTTTTCTTTTAAATATATGCATGTTTATGTTTCTTTAAGCTAAGAGGGCGAAAACACAGATTGTGAGATTTGCGGTGACGTCCGCTGGATTTCTGAATGAATCTGCAGTGATGGAGGCTATAGAGAAGAAGGTGAGCCGAACCTTTACTGTACTGCGTGCATCTGAACGTCAGCAGATTGATCTCGTTCACTAATCGCAGCTGAAATCTGCTCTCCAGATGAACCGGATCCTCTCAGATCAGCAGATGGACTCTGGATCCAGTGTAACGTGGAGAGTCCCGCCTGATGGACTGATCTTCCAGCTGCAGGAAAAACACACATGAAACATGAAAAATCATTCACTGCTGTCCTTTTGAACACTGCTATGTTTAGCTTAGAGCCTCTAACGCTATTTTTAGGAATGGAAATTTCATGTCATTTTATGCAGTACTCTAACATATAAAAATAGATAATAGATTATTTTAAATGATTTATTTTAAAATATTATGAAACTTGTAGAAAACCTACTTTTTTATTATAAATAAATCATATTTGTATTGTTTCTCTTATTTCATACAGAAAAAAAACCATAGATAATGCATGTGTAGTTAAGTAGTCACTTACTGTTGCAGTAAATTTGGCCAGAAACTGTTAGTATTACTTCATATTACTTCAGTAAAACGTCATGTGATTATGACATTACTAATGAACTAAAGTCACATTAATTTTATTCTGTTGTTATCATTTAAACTTGTTAAAATTTCTGTAGTTACATTTTTTTTTTTTTTATTTAGAATAATTATAATATATAATGATTTTAATAGCATAATAAGCCTGTATAATGTAGGTTTGATGTATTTTGACTTATATTGAGATACATTTCTTTCATTTATTTACCCCCTTTTGTTAATGTCATTTAACTTGATTCACATTAAACTAAAATTAAAAGAAATAAATTGCATGATTTTCTTTATGACTGTGTAAACCAATCTTGGTTCTTTTACAAGTAAAATATTTTACAAGGTAGAATGACACAAATAATGTTGTGTTCAATATTAAAATATCTTCAAATCAATTTGTTAGCACCATTTAAAGGCAAGACACAACCCTAACACTAACAGGTGAATAGAGTAAAAAAGATATTTAACTAATAGATGTTACCATACTTGCCCAGTTGAGTGATTGCATTAATATTTGCAAGATTTTTTAAAAATTCTCGTTTGGTCTTATTCTCATATTAGAGTTAAAGGTTTTTACAGATGAGATTTGGAATTTTTCCTCCAGAAATCCGAAAATATTGTCAACAGACAGAAAAACAAATACATTTTCACCATGTTTTTAGGAATATGATGTTTCATATCTATAATTAGGCCGGATGAAGAAATATCTCTATAAAAACATTCAGAACATAGAGACTGTAAGTGTTGGTGTATAAGTGCTGCTGAAGTGGAGAAACAAACTCATTTTGAGAAAAAAACAGCCTTTAAAGATAAAATGCAATAAAATCTATCTCAGTAATTGTTTTGTTTGTTATTGTTCTGGATATTATCAAAACTTATTCCATTCTGTTGTGTTTTTCACAGGATGGTGATTCACTGTTTGGTGTCTCAGGTCTGATTATGGAGGTGAGATTCTGATTAGCTTCATCTGGATTGTGTGATTTTTTTTTTTGTATGTATATATACAATATATATATATATATATATATTAATTGAATACATATTAACTTCTTTCTTAGTGAATATCAAAGTCCAGCCAATATGCATGCACACAAACACTAAAATATACCAAGGAGAGCCTATTTATATGTTTTTGCTCTTTTTATCCAGTCTAAACTCTTTCATTTGGATTTTTCTCTCCTCTAGAACGGGATCAGCAGCACCTCCTGGAATCCTTTCTATTCAAGCCCACAGGTATCAGAGAGCATTCAAAACATTACTGTCAGTAAGATTGTTAAATACAGTCATACTTTTATTCATCAAGCACACATTAAATTGATCAAAAGTAACAATAAAGACATCTGTGATGTTACAGAAGATTTCTATTTCTAATAAATGCTGTTCTTTTGAACTTTCTATTCATCTGTGAATCCTGAAAAAAGTATCCCGGTTTCCTTAAAAATATTGTGCAGCACAACTGTTTTCAACATTGATAATAATCAGAAATGTTTCTTATAATCAGCATATTATTATGATTTCTGAAGATCATGTGACACTGAAGACTGGAGTAATGATGCTGAAAATTCAGCTGCGCATCACAGAAATAAATTACAGTTTAACAGATATTCACATAGAAAACTGCTGTTTTAAGTTATACAAATATTACACTGTTTTTATTGGATTTTTGATCAAATAAATGAGCTTTGGTGCGCAGAAGACAAAATCTTACTGACCCCAGACATTTTAGATGGATTTGTTTACTTGCATACAATAACATACTTTGATTCTCTGATTCTCAGAGTCCAGCGAATGGAGATCGAGATGGTAGCAACACAATCAGAGAAAACAACGTGTTACCGAACGTAAAGAGTTTAACCAAAAGCAACGGCATTCATCAGACGCCTGAGTTTCCAGACGATCCTTTCCCAGCTCCAGACTGGGTTTTGTTCCCTTCACCTGATTTTTATAGAGACAACACACCGAATGGCTTTCAAACCACATCAGCATCAGGCGTTTGGGGTGAAGACACAGACATTTTCCAGCCTTTTAAAGAGAAAGCAGACCCTGATGTGTCACACAGCAGCTCAGCCAATCAGAACACAGAATCCTGCTCTTCGTCCAATCAGAGGGATCCTCTCCTGGAATTCATCCAATCCAGACAGAAGAAATTCCAAGCCACGCCCTCCCCAGCTTCACCATCCGATCCTGCCAACGTTTTCCCAGAAACATGCGCTAAAACGAACGTTTCTAATACCAGCCCAGCATCTGATGATATTTGCAAGACGTCCTCGTCCACCGCAGGAACCAAAGTCTCCGACATCGAGGCGTTTGACCCTCTGTTTGACCCTCAGAACGAAGTTCAGTCCAAACACAAGAGCGATTATGATCTACTGTTCACTCGTCAAGATGCAAAACAAGACATTGCTATTTCCCATGATGCTTTGCAAAATGGAGTCGTCCAAGAGACAACACCGTCCACAAACGTCTCAAATGGAGACCTGGTGAGAACGTCTTTCCAATTAAGACCAATTATGAACATCTTTCTAATGAGGACCAAACGATTTTAGTCCGTATTTGTTCTTTTTGAGCTCATATATTCTCCAAAAAATTAACTAAATTAGCATTTATACTCATATTATTTTGAGTGTTATTTTAGTATTACTAAGATCCTGTTTATTCAGGTAAATTGTGACACCGTTTTGCCATCGACTGGAGAAAAATGGCCAAATTATCCTGAATTAACCCTATAATTGTATTAATATTTTGAATTAGTTTATTTATTTATTTAATCTTTCAGTTTTTTTGTACTTTAAGTTAAACTAAATGAAATGTTGACTTGGCCACCAGCTGAATTAAAATAAGTTTATATATAGTTTATATATGTTTTCATCACTACAATAAACAAAATTATATATATATTTTTTTTTTGTAGTAATGAAAACTTTTTAAAATGGTTTTAATTTTAGTTTTAGTTAACTATAATAATCCTAACTCACATAAACTCATTTAAAATGTGAAGACTTGCTCTTCCAAAATAAAATATTATTAAGCCTGTTTTTTTTGTTGTTTTTTTTTTTGTCTGAATTATTATTCAATTTATACTTTTAGTTGATTTTGGGCAGAAAAAAAATTAAAAATACAATCAACAATATATAGAATAATGTAATATATAATTAAATAAATAATTATTTAAATAATCAAGTGCCTGTTTATTTATTTATGTATTTATTTAAATGTACAATATTCAAAAATATTAACTATACATGTAGATTTTTGTCCAATAAAATGCTTTCTAGAAATAAGCAGCCCAGACTTCCTGTTTAAACAGGAAATATGTCAACACAGAAAGGAAATGTGTGCTCATCAGATAATTTCTTGGGGTCTTTAGGTCTTTATGAGACCCTTTTATTTCTAATTTTTCGTTTATATATATATATATAAACGAATTGTGAAATCTTGTCTTCTCGTAGATGTCCAGGAGGCTCCGGCCCAAAGCTGCTCCTCGCAGTAAAGCCCTGAAGAGCCTCCTTCAGCCTCCTGCTCTCTCTCAGGTACTGTAGGTCTCCTTCAGTTTCCCTTTATGCCTTTCATTTTCTGCATAGTCGTTCGGTGAGGGAGATGAACTCTAGCTGATGCTCATCGACAGCGTCTGATGTTATTTGATGATAATATTCACTTTTGTGCTGCCACTCGATCAGATCCAGACGCATTCATTCTTTCAGGTTTCTCTCGCTTTTCTGCCTTTCGTGAAATCACGTGCCTTTTATTTACATCACTGAATATTCTTTCTTTTTCACTGGGTTGTTCCTGCATGTTTGAATCTACAGTAAATGTAAGCTGGGATGCTTCACGTGTGGTCTGTGTGTTGATATCTAAGTCATTCGAGTCCAGATGTTTGTGAAATGTTTGCTCAACAATGTGTTGTTATGATCAGATGACGCCGGCTGAGATAGAGAGCGATCTGCAGGTGTTTGAGGACGTTCTTCTCATCGGTCAGGTGTGTTTGCGGCATCCCAGTCAGTCCCTGTGTTTCTCTGGGTGTTTCTTCAGCTTTTATTTATTTATTTATTTATTTGTTCATTTGTTCATTTGTTTGTTTGTTTGTGTTTTATTTTGTATGTATTTATTTGTTTGTTTGTTTGTTTGTTTGTTTTATTTATTTGTTTGTTTGTTTGTTTGTGTTTTATTTATTTATTTATTTATTTATATATAAATAATGTTTTAATTATTTGTGGAATATAATTTCCATATAATTGTTTATACATTTTGTGTTTGCTGCATTCCAGTCAGTCCCTGTGTTTCTCTGGGTGTTTCTTCAGCTTTTATTTATTTATTTATTTATTAGTTTATTTGTTTATTTGTTTGTTTGTTTGTTTATTTAAAAAAATGGTTTAAATATTTGTGGAATATAATTTCCATATAATTTTTATACATTTTGCATATTTCTGTAAATAAGAGGCATTTCTAAAAAATAAATAAATTAAAAAATTAAAAAATCTGCAGGCATGTGGAAAAGTCTCATGTCACATGTTTTAATTTGACTTTCATGTAACAACAAGGGAAAAAATAAAATAAAATAAGTAAACAAAGTTCCTGTAGTGGAAGAAACACCCTCATGTGGATTCATATTTCTTCAAATGGTATGTGTGATTTGCAAAACAAATACGCCTACATACTTCAAACATGCTTTACAGGAAAGGTGTGTGGAGGACTGGCCTGAACACAGTCCGGAGCTCTCTTCAGAGTGGAAACCTGTAAGTTCTCATGATCTGAAACACACACAGCAGACCGGCGCAGAAACACACTCACACTTTCTCTGTTGCAGGCGGGGAAGTTCAGGCTTCGGAGAGACGCTGTGCAGGTGAGTCCCAGCTCTGTCTGAATGCAGATCAGGGCAAATACAACTTTTAACACATTTTTTGTCAGTTGAAATAAAGCTGAAATAGAATTTCATAGAAATAGTAGATTAACAACTTATTCCAAGGCAATATGTTGCTTACAAACAAAGTGAGGGAAAGCTTGATCATAGTTCAAGCAATTACAGACTGGAAATTAATAAAAACTAGAACTTCAATGGTTTTTATTTTAGTATTATTAATATTTTAGATAAATAGTTAAATTGTTAGTATTTTTATTTATTTATTTTGCAGTTGTATTAGTCTATATAGTTGTAGTTGTATTATTCTATAGTTTTTATTTAGTTATACCTGGTTTAGTAAGATTTTATTATTCTATTTTATTTCAGTTAATGTTTATTTTAATTAAAGTAATGAATATTTTTTTATGGTTTTAGTTAATGATAATAACCCTGACTGCAATGAAAATAAATAAATAAATGAACAAACAAACAAGTAAATAAATAAATAAATAAAAACTGAAAAAAGCACAGAACAAAAAAAATTAAATCGATGAGTAATAATAAAAATCAAATACTAATAATAGTAATACTAATAAATAAGTGATTAATTAAATGATTTAATAGCTAAAAAAAAATGTACATTTGTAAACTGATGGTAAAGATGGTAAATTAAAAACTGAAAATATAAAAATAAAATCTAATATATAAAATATTAATAAAAACTATACTAGTATATAAATAATACTAAACACTGATGTAAAATAAACACTGATGTACCGTATTGGCCCGAATATAAGACGACCCTGATTATAAGACGACCCCCCCGTTTTCCAGATGTACCTTTTGGAAAAAGGCTTTTTACAAACCATGGGTACTGTCTTACGTTTTAAAATCACAAAGGGAGTTTGTTGCCATCAGGCTAACGTGACAGTCATGCCTCATGCAGCTGTAAGGTTTTCTTTCTCTTTTGTTTTTACTCGCGATATTTACAACACGCATTACATTACGTATTTCATGGCACACTCGTTTTATGCGTATTTGGCGCCACCTATTGTTGTGGGTGTATTATTGACATGTCAAAGTCTAGACCCTGAATATAAGACGACCGCGTTTTTTCAGATGTATTTCCAAGAAAAAAATATCGTCTTATATTCGGGACAATACGGTAGTTCAAAACTTCTCACATGGAGACCCAAATCATTCAAAATAATCAACAAAAAGTTGTTAATCAAACATTTATTTTAATTTAAATTTATTTTCATCCTAACTAATAAAAAAAACATATATAAATAAAAAAAAAGCTTTGTCTTTCTCTTTATTTATTCCTTCCCTTTCTAGCTTATTGTAAGTCATTTTGGATAAAAGTGTCTGCAAAATGACTAAATGTAAATAAAAATATATATTAAATAAAAGAAAACAAATCTCTGCAGGCAGTAATTAACCTCAGAAAACATATTTATCCCCAGTGCATGTATTTAATGTAGTCTAGATTGTATTTGCTTTTACCTATTAGTAGATGTTTTGACGTATTTCTATGTGAAACGTGTTAAAGCACAGAAAACGTTAGCAAGCCCACAGGAATCCTGACAGCGTTATTACAATCTCTTTCCTGATCCTGCTGACTCTGGCAGATCTCAGGTGATGGGACGGTGAAGAAGAGCGGGAAGCAGGTACGGCGTGAATCTGTGAACTCTGCGTGACTTTGACGGCGTGTTTGTTCTTCTTCACGTGTGTTTGTGTCTCTGTTGATCTTTCAGACTCTGGGAAGGAAACTGAGACACTCGCTGCTGATCAGGAGGAGCTCAAAGGTAAAAGACAGGACAAGTGTTCATTTAATTCAATTTTTAACACAACGCAGTGTACGGAAACATACTATATATTGCCTCAGAATAAAAATATTAAAAAAGATAATTGTACCTTTTTATCTCACAGTTCCGACTTTTTTTCTCAGAATTCTGCGAGTTTATATCTCACAATTAATAACTCAAAATTGTAAGATTAAACTTGTAGAAGCTTGCCTCTGCCTCAGGAAGGAAGAAAGAAAGAAAGAAAGAAAGAAAGAAAGAAAGAAAGAAAGAAAGAAAGAAAAAGAGAACTTTAAATCTCACAAATGATAAATTTTCCTCACATTTCTGATATTTTTTTCTCACAATTGCAAGTAAAAAGTCTGAATGGTGAGAAATAAACTCAGATTTGCAATAACATAAATTCAGAATTGCGAGTTTAAAAAGTCTGAGTTAACGAGAAATAAACTAAGAATTTCGAGAAATAAACAGTGAGAAAGAAGGTTCAAATTCTGAGGTTGTGAAATATAAACTTAATATTGGGAAACAAAAGTCTGAACTGTACGATACGAAGTTGCACTACCTTTTGTATACTTCTATCGTGTGTTGGAGATGTATGTGTAATGTAATAACACAGAGAAAACTCAATATCTGTGATTTCAGGATAAAATTGGAGATGAATTGAAGAGCTCAGAGAAGAACACAAACTCACTGAATCCAGGCTCAAAGGTGAATAAAAGAGGATCAGTGTGAGGTGTTTCTTTCTTTCTCTAATGAGTTCTGTATCGTGTTAAAGCTCATTGATGGCACAGACGAGTTTTTCGCTCCAGAAGAAGAAGAAGAACAGAATGAAGCTGCCGAGTATAAACCCGTATGAAGCTCTTTATTTCTGAATCCTGATTCTTCAGTGATTTCAGATTCATGTGTTTCATAGCAGATGTGTTTTTCTCTCTCAACAGAAGAAGTCAAAACCCAAGATTATTACACACCGCAGAGGATCTAAGGTAAAACGTTACCTTTACA